ACTGTTATCCACAAGGATTGATTCTTCAAAGGCAATGTACTTCTAAAAAACAGCTATTCATTTCTCCGTTTTTGTTTTTTTTTTTTTTGAGACAGAGTTTCTCTGTGTAGTTTTGGTGCCTGTCCTGGATCTCGATCTGTAGACCAGGCTGGCCTCAAACTCACAGAGATCCGCCTGCCTCTGCCTCAAAGGCGTGCGCCACCACTGCCCAGCTAGCTATTCATTTCTAATGTCCACCCCGCTTACAATGACTCTGCTAAATTCCTACAACATCCATTGTCATTCAAATGTTCCAAAATGTTTCCAATTAAGTAAATAGCTGATATGATAATAGAAAAGCAGGGTCACAGAAATCTTCAGCTGTACCACCAGTAGATCTCTCTGACAGTAGGAAACTTTGAGTTTGTGAAACATGAACAATAAATGTTGAAGTCAGGTAGTGTCAATGCTCCAACTTTTCTGAGCTGTTTAACAGTTCTATGTAATTTATACTTTACCTTTCTAAATGAGTTTTAAAATCAGTTTGTCAGCAGGGTGGTGGTGGTGCACACCTTTAATCCCAGTACTTGGGAGGCAGAGGCAGGCCGATCTCTGTGAATTCGAGGCCAGTCTAGTCTACAGAGTGAGTTCCAGGAAAGGTGCAAAGCTACAGAGAAACCCTGTCTTGAAAAACAAACAAACAAAATCAGTTTGTCAATTTCTTCATAAAAGCTTCCTGGAAAAAAATGCTGAATTGAGAATGCATTGAATCTGTGTGTCAGTTTGGGAAACATCATAACAGGATTGAGTCCTCCAAATAGTGAGCAAGCTGTGTCTTCATTAGCGCTGGTTCTGTTATTTCTCTCAGCAGTGTTTTGTAGCATCAGTCTATAGGTCTTTTCTCTGACCTATTACTATTTCAGAACTTTTATGTTCTTGTGAATGGTGTTGCTTTTTAAAATAAATCGCTTAACTGTTCCCATTGCAGATAGAACAATAATTGATTTTGCATATTTGTGTCATGCTACATTGTTGAACTCTAATGGTTTTAGTAACTGTCAGATTTTGTAGATAGATGTTCATGTCTGTGAGAAGGCATCTTCATTCCTAATTTTGATGTGTTTTATTATCTGTCTTTTTACAGATTATACTTGGTAGAACTATTTCTAGTGCAAGTGTTGAATAGAATTGTTAAAAAGAAATCCATTTTATTCATTCTTTCATGATTATTTTTGTAAATGCCTTTTATCAAGTTAATGAATTATGTGAACTATTTTTTTTACTTTTTTGTTTTTTTTATTTAAATAAAATACTTTATTTTAATTAATTTACAAACAGAACATCACAGAGCTGGTTTAAAGAAGCTACTCAAACATCCCAAACTCTACATCTCTGTGTACTTTATAGAGTTAAGATAAGGTTTTTTGTTTTTTTGAGGCAGGGTCTCTCTCTTTGTAGCTTTCCCTCATCCCACCCTCTGGTCTGCATCTCGAGTCCTGGGATTGCAAGTATGCAGTACAACCCTGGACTTGTTTTGTTGTTTTTGAGACAGGGTATATCTCTTAGCCTAGGCTGGTCTGAGAATGACCTTGAATTCCTGAACCTTCTAAAATTACAGACCTGAGTTATAACATCTGAATTTCCCCCTTCCTTCCCCTACCTATAGAGATAAAAACTTACCTATTTATCTGTTGTTTTTTTTTTTTAAATCCAAATTGTCTTGATAAAGTCCATGGCCTATATATGCCAAGCAGTCACTCTACCACTGAACTGTATCCCTAAGCTCTTTTAAGTTGCCCAGATCTTCCTGCCGTCAGAGTAACTGGAATTTTAGGTGTGTAACACCATACCTGGACCACCAAGAATTCCTTTTTTTAAGATTTATTCATTTCATGTATATGGGCATTTTGCCTGAATGTATGTATGTACACTATGTTTGTCTGGTGCCCTAGGAGGTCATATCCAGTAACTAGAGATACAGATAGTAGTGAGCTGTCTGATGTGGATACTGGAAATTGATCTCAGGTCCTCTATAAGAGCACTATACACTTGTATTTTTCCCCCCTCGTGATAGGGTTTCTCTGTGTAGTTTTTGGTTCTTGTCCTGGAATCTCTCTCTGTACCAGGCTGGCCTCGAACTCAGAGAAATCCACTTGGCTCTGCCTCCTAAGTGCTAGGATTAAAGGCGTGTGCCCCCGCCACCCTTCCCATTACACACTCTTAATCCCTAAGGATTAAGGAGAGGACCAACACTTGAAAGTTGTCCTCTGAACATCACATGTTAGCCACAGCATGTTCCTCCCTCCCCAAGCAGAACAAACAAAACAAAAAAACAACAACAAGAAAAATTGTTACTCTTTGGCTAACTTCAGCTATGTAGCAGGGCCTTGGTTGTAGAAACACTAAGAAACAAACTCAATATAGGCTAGTGACTGAATAAAAATTCTGTAGACAGTTATATAATCAACCAACCATATGAAGACAGTTAATCTCTGAAAAGCCATATTCTGTATTTTTTAAATTTTAATCTTTTTTTTTTTTTAGGCAAACAATTTGGGATCTAAAAATTACCTCCAAGTTTGTCTTCGAATAAGACCATTCACACAGTCAGAAAAAGAACACGAGGCTGAGGTTTGTGTTGAATTTAATTAGATCTTAATGTTTTGTTTTCATTCAGTGAATGCTACTCTTATTATTGTGGGCCTGTTTTCTAGGGCTGTGTACAAGTTCTGGATTCTCAGACTGTTCTGTTGAAAGATCCCCAAAGCATCCTTGGCCAGCTAAGTGAGAAGAGCTCTGGACAGGTAGCACAGAAATTCAGTTTTTCTAAGGTAAGTAAGAAACCTGGGACACAGGGATGTGTGATCTTGCACACATGCCTGCATGCATGTATGGTGTGAGGGAGCTGTGTAGTGGATTGAATGAGAGCCTTTCACATGTAAAGCACATACTTTGTCATTAAAGTACACTCCAACTCCCCCTCTGTGTTCTGTTTCAAAGTCATAGCTTCTTTTTTCTTTTTTCTTTTTTTTTAGTAGGGCAAGACTTGGGCTCAGTTGTTGTATAATTGTGTACAGTGAAGCGATACTTTGTGCTCACAGAACTTCACTCTTTGGTGCTGGTGTGTGTGTGTGTGTGTGTGTGTGTGTGTGTGTGTATGTGTGTATTTCTGAAACTAAGACTGAGGTCTATAAATTTATAATTTGAAGTAAGTCACTGCATTGACCTTTTTATTCTAATTAAAAATATTTTTTAAAGCTCATGAAAAATTGATTGGCTGGGTGTGTGAAATTTCTTAGTCATTTTTAGTTAGATTTTCCTTATTGGTGTGTGTCTGCCATGACGTGCATATGGAGGACCTTGCAGGACTCTTCACTCGCCTTTCACCAGGTGCTGCTCAGGGAGTTAACTCAGATGCTTTACCCACTGAGCCATCTTGCCAGCCTTGAAGGTTCTGTCCTAAAATTTATAAATACCTGTCAGTGTACTTTTGGTGGTAGAGACATGATACCTGTTTTGAATAAATATTTAAAAGCAAATGTTTAATAATTTTGGAACATAAATTTTCTTAAAAGTCATATCTTGAAAATGCTCTCTTAGGTTTTTGGACCTGAAACTTCACAGAAAGATTTCTTTCTGGGTTGCATTATGCAGCCAGTAAAAGACCTCTTGAAAGGACACAGTCGGCTGATCTTTACATACGGGCTGACCAATTCTGGAAAAACATATACATTTCAAGGTAAATAGTGTTTATTTTGACTAGAAAAGAAAAAGAACCGTTAGTATTCATTCAGTATTTTCATAATTCCATGAAGTTATATTTTCCATCATCTAGTCCATATTTTTTATTTTTACTATTTTTTCTATAAAAAAATAAAATCATATCATTTCTTCCTCTTCCATCTCCTTTTATATCACCTCCACTGTTCCTTCTCGAATTCATAACCTCCTTTTCTTTATTATTGTTATATATATGTGAATAAATACATAAACAACCTGCTGAGTCTGTTAATTATTGCTTGTATATGTTTTTAAGGCTATTAAAAATTAGTATTACACAATATTGGAGCTGGAGATGTTGGTGTAGTCCTTTAGTCCCAGCACTTAGGAGGCAGAGGCAGGGTGCTCTTTGAGTCCCAGGACAGCCTGGTCTATGTAGTGAATTCCCAGAGCTACATAATGATACCTTATCTCAGAAAACAAAAACAAAATCAAAGTATTGGTTTCATTATGACATGTTCGTACATATATGTCATATTTGTTCTTTTTATTTTCCTTTGTTTCATTCCCACAGTCCACCATGTCGTCCTCTTCTGGTCCCTTTCCTCCTCTTTAAATAGTCTTTCCTTCTGCTTGTTACGTCTGTCTGTCTATCTATCTAACATATATATAAAACACACATATATATTTCATAGCCTGCTCTTTTTGCCTTCTCTTCCCTTAACATTTTTCTTCCCGCTCATAGTTCTTTTCCTACTTTAGTGATATTCTCTCTCTCTCTTACTCACTTTAAATCTAGATTTTGCATTTGAGAGGGAATACACACACTGATATCCAGGTCTGTTCACTTTGTTGCTGGGCAAGCACTTTACAAATTGTACTACCTCCCCAAGCTGTATTATATTCTTTCCTTGTCCTAACTCTCCTCCTCAACTTGATCGCACAGAGAAAACTTCTGTCTAGTTATCTTACCTGGATATCCCCTCAACTTTTTAAAACATGTTATATATATTGCTGATATATCTATCTATCTATCTATAGTTTTTTTGAGACAAGGTTTTTCTGTGTATAGTTTTGGAGCCTTTCTTGGAACTCACTCTGTAGCCCAGGCTGGCCTCAGCATGGAATAAAGAAGAAACATTATTTCATTTTGTAATCATGGATGATAGGAAATCATAATATTAGGGCAAGATCTGAATGTAAAATTTCATACTGTTGAATCAGAATATGTTGACAATACAGTAAATACTAAAATGATAGAAAATGGAATAATTCCTTAACTTCTTGGCGTTTTTCCTTTTTTAAACTCTAGCTTATTGGTAGTATAAAAGGAGCTTTGTTAATCCAAAAACATTGCCTTTTTCCTATCCTTTTATAGGCACAGAAGAAAATATTGGCATTCTGCCTAGAACACTGAATGTATTGTTTGATAGTCTTCAGGAAAGACTATATACGAAGATGAACTTCAAACCACATAGATGTAGAGAATACTTACGGTTATCATCTGACCAAGAGAAAGAGGAAGGTGCTAATAAAAGTGCATTATTGCGGCAAATTAAAGAGGTATTGTAGTTGTTTAGTACATAAAATATCAAAATCATGGAAATTTTTTGAAAACTTTCATGATAATTTTAGCCTGTATTTTAATCCGTTTTTGGTCATGGTGGTGTTTTGTTTTTGAAAAAAAATATTTAAGGCAGCAAATGGCAATATTAAACAGAAATGTAAATAATGCTGGTCCTTTTTGTTATAGGATTAGTATTATACTTTTAAAATATTTATGAAATATTTGAAAATAATAAAAGCAAAAAATTTAAAAGAATGTAGGAAAGGAAAGTGACTATTTGGACAGGTTCATTTCTTGAGAGGCTCCCTGTTTAGCTGAGTTGACCTCAGCTTTGCAGTTCTCCTGCCTTTGCCTCCTGACTGACTTGTTGCACCGCATACCTGCCTCATGCAGAGAGCTTTCTGTCTCGGAATGGATGTGCACAGTCACATGCAGGTACTTCCGCACTTCATTTTCTGATAACTAGTTAGATCCAGGGCCTCCTGTGTGCTAGGTAAGCACTCTTAACATTGAGATACATTCTCGCTCCCTCTTTGTTATATGTAGAATACAGTTTTTTCTTTTAAACAGTAGTGATATCTTATTCTTTTTAAAATAACCTAGTTTGGGTTGGGGATTTAGCTCAGTGGTAGAGTGCTTGCCTAGCAAGCGCAAGGCCCTGGGTTCGGTCCTCAGCTCTGGATAAAAAAAAAAACCAAAAAAAAACCAAAAACAAAAACTAAAAACAAAACATAAAATAATCTAGTTTCTCACTAGACATCAAAATACCAATTAATCCAATTAAAAATGGGGTACAGATCTAAACAATTTTTAATGGAAGAATCTCAAATGGCTGAAATACACTTAAAGGAAAAGAATTGTTCAACATTCTCAGTCATCAGGAAATGCAGATCAAAATGACTCTGAGATACCATTTTAGACGTGTCAGAATGACTAATATCAGAAACACTGATGACAGCTTATATTAGAGAGGATGTGGGGGGAACACTCCTCCATTGCAGGTGGGAGTACAAACTTGTACAGCTACTTTTGAAATTAATATAGCTGTTTCTCAGGAAAC